GAATATACCATAGCTTCTCTATCCATTAGTTTGTTGATAGGCACTTAGGTTGTTTCAAACTCCTTGCTATTGTGAATAAAGCCACAATAAACATGGGTGTGTATATATCTGCTTGGGTGTCAGTTATGGTCTCTTTGGGGTATATTCCCAGTAGTGGAATTGCTGGGTCAGATGGTATCTCTATTTGCAACTTTTTGAGAAAGCACCACACTGCCTTCCATAGTGGTTGCACCATTTTACACTTCCACCAACAGTGAATAAAGGTTCCAGTTTCTCCACAACCTCGCCAGCATTTTTCTTTTTTTTTCTTCTTAAGCTTTATTTTTTAATAATTTTAATGAGCATTTACAGAGATTTTAGATTTCCTTCATTCACTGCTGCACTTCTCTCCCCACCCAGCACCCCCCAGCCAGCATTTTTTTGCTTGCTGTTCTGTTAAATTTTGCTATTCTTACTGGGGTGAGATGCTATCTCATAGTTGTTTTAGCCTGGTAATGTTCTCAGGTGAAGTTACCTTCTGGGTCTAAGTATTGGTTTCTCCTCCACTTTACAGTGGTAACCTGGGACAGATTCTTTTCCCTGGCCCGTTTCCTTATTCATGGAATGGAGTGATGATAATATTTCTATGAATGTCTGGATAGTTGAGATAATACATGTAAAATACTCAACACAGTAAGTTATCACAAGAGGTAAATATGATGATTTCTCTTCTAATCATCTTGTGTGCTTTAGTTCATGTTATTCCCACAGTGTCTTATTTGTGCTCCTCAAATTCTCCCTACTCTTCAGAGTCTAGCAATGACTCACAATGTAACGAAATTAAGGAGGAAAGACCATGGACTTGGGAGCCAGTTGACCTTAGTTTGAATCTTGATTCCTGTAACTTTGGGCAAACCATCTTACCCATTTTCTCATCTGTACATGGTAATGATAGTACCTATCTCATTGTATATTAGGAGAATACTGTGGTCTGGTGTTTTCTAGTTGGTTCTGATTCATAGGAAACCTTTGTTGTTATTATGCACCATCAAATCAGAACTGACCCTCTTTCAGATTTTCAGAGGCAGTAAATCAAATGGGAAGAGATTCCCATCTTTCTCCGGAGGAACAGCTGGTAGATTCGAACCATGTGCCTTTGGGTTGGTAGCACAACTCCTTACCACTAGGCCATCAGAGTTTAGCGGGATCCTGTTGTTGTTATTATGTGCCATTGAGTCAGAACTGACTCATAGCTGACCCTCCAGCAGGTTTTCAGAGGCTGTAAATCATACAGGAGATTGCCCATCCTTCTCCCACAGAGCAACTGGTGGATTTTAATCATATGCCTTTGGGATTGCAGCACAGCTTCTTACCACTAGGCACCAGAGCTCCCTGGGGACCCCAGTACAAAATAAAACACTGCCCTTTTTTGGACCATCCTCACACTGTTGGTATTTTTTTAGCCCATTGTTACTGCTATGATGTTAATCTGTCTCATTGGGGGGGTCTTCCTCTTTTTCAGTAACCTCTACTTTATCGATAAAGTATGATTGATATACTTCTTCAAGGACTGCTCCCTCCTGGTAACGTGCCCAAAGTATGTGAGATCAAGTCTTTTCGTCCTCACTTTGAAGGAGTACTTTGGCTGTGTCTCTTCCAAGACAGGTTTGTTAATCCTGCTCACAGTTCAACATTATAATCAAAGATAGATTCTTCTTCTATCTTCTTTATTTACCGTCCAGCTTTTTTGCATGTACGAAGTGAATGAAAATACCATTGTTTGGGTCAGACACATATTAGTCTTCAAGGTGACATCCATATTTTTTTAACACTTTAAAGAGGCAACATATTTGAACAATGCATTACTGTTGTTCGAATTCCTTGGGTATAGACTACAGGTCCAGGTAAAAGGACATTCTTGACAATTTCATTCTTTTCTCTCGTTATGTGATGTTTGTTGGTTCAGTTGTGAAGACTCTTGTTTTCTTTATGATGAGATGTAATCCATACTGTAATCTTCACTTTTATCAAGCGAAGTTGTATCATCTACATATTGCAAATTGTTAACAACTTAACAATGCAGATGTCATGTTCTCCTTCATATATCCCAGTTTCTTGGGGTTAGCTGCAGATTAAATAAGTACAGTGACAGGGGGCAACCCTAATGCACTCCTTCCCCAATATTTAAAAACACAGTATCCTGTTCTGTTACAATAACTTCCTCTTTAACTGTGTACAGGTTCTGCATGAACATAATTAAGTGTTCTGGAAGTCTCATTCTTTTCAATATTACCCATAATTTGTTATTATCAACACAGTTGAATGCCTTTGTTTAGTTAATAAAACACAATTATATAAGAAGACATAAGGGTTAAATGAGTTGCTGTGTATGAAGTACCTATAGCCTGCCTGGCACGTGATAGAAGCTCATGTTAGAAACTTTTCTGTAATCTCTGTGTGCTGTCAAAATACAGGACACAAACATACACATGGTTTCATTCATGCTCTGAGTACTTTAAAGAGTGTGAACAATATCTAATTAATCTTTTACTTTATTTAGCTCAGTACCTCACTCATGTCTGGTGCTCAAGAAAGTGGTGAAATTGAAATAAACCAGGAGACAATACATGGGCAGTACAAAGTTTTCTAGATAAGCAGATACTTGAAGTGTTGACCAAGGTTAAAATTTACCTTTTCTGGAATGTATGGAGACCTAGAGTTTGCTGCCATCAAGTCAAAATCCACTCACAGCTGACCCTCCAAAGCCATAGATTGCAAGGGAAGAGATTATTTCTCTTGCACCCCTGAAGCCACTAGTGGATCCAAACTATTATAGAGTTGTGTAGTCTTCAGCTCTTTCTGAAGAGCTTTTACAAGATGAACTGGCACAGTCACTGCCACAAAGGGCTTGATGATCAATTGGCTTGATGGCAGAGATGATGGGATGGTGCAAGATAGAGCAAAGTTCTGATCTGTTGTTCATGGGTTGCTGAGTCAAGGTTGTCCCCTACAACAACAACAACAACAACAACAACAACAGCATTTCTTGGAGCCCTGGTGATGCAATGATTTAGCATTTAGTTGCCAACAGAAAGGTTAGAGTTGAATCCACGTACGGACTTCCTGGGAGAAAAGATTTGGTGATCTGTCCTACAGGGTAGCTATGAGTTGGATTAGACTGTAGAGCAAATGACAACTTCTTAAGTTTTCTTCACTATTGCAGGGCCAGGCGGCTTTTACTAGAAGTCAGGGAGAGGGTCTAAACCAAGACCATCTCAGAAAAGCAGATTTTGTCTCAAAGGGACCTACAGAGCAGTGCAGAGCCTCCTGGTTAGCTGTAAATCTCTATGGGAGCAGACTGCCTCATCTTTCTCCCGCAGAACTCAACCCACCAGGCCAACAATGGAATAAGCAGATCTGTATTAAAGATCAAGGGTTTGGAATCAACAGGATCAATTATTTCCTTATCTGTAAAATAACAACGAAATGATAAATTCCTACTCAAATGAGATAGCAAACGCAACACTTGCCAGGCAGCTACTAGGCATTATTATTAGTGTGACTAAACACAAGTGGTTCTTTCTGTAGTCAGTTCCAATAAGACAAACGGACTGCAATATCCATACATGCACTTTATTACACTGATCTAGGAGACAGCGAGTCACCTCTAAGACTGCCTCCCAGTCTGGGAGTGGTCATGGCCTTATATGTTGTTGTTGTTGTTATGTGCCGTTGAGTCGCCTGTGACC